GTTTAGTTATCTCCCCATCTCGTCTACAATTTTTTTTTTTTTTGCATTCTAAAATGTGCCCAGCCTTGTGCAGCACCCATTGGCATATACTGTACAAATCCCCTCATGCCTGCCTCTGGGAATCATGCTTGTGGTTGTCAGTGTCTTGCAATGCCTCATGGGACTTGTAGTCTCACCACAACTGAAGTGCCGAGGTTGCCTACTCCTGTTCTAAACAATGATTCAGCACAGAGCAGGGTTATCCTGGGATTCATCTGCATACAAATTGGACCTGACAAATGGCTTCTAAGCTTTCTAGAGCAGTGAACTGGCATGACGTTACAGGAGACCTGACAATGAAGCCCATAGTCTGCCTTTATGTAATGCTCTCATAATGAAAATGTCTATCCGTTACCAGTGAGAAGTGTTGGAAATTTTAAGGGCTGACCATTCTTTAAAAATCGCTGCCTGAATCAAGTAGGTGATAGTTCTCATGATGTGCATAAAACAGCTAATCCAGTCTACTTATATAAACAGCATTTTAAAAGGGGTGTATAGAAAGTAAGGTGCATTCATTTGTTGCTTATGTAATCAGGACCTTGGAAGGGACTTTGTAACACAGCCCAGGATGTACTGAAAAGTTGGAGTGGACCTGTGGCAAAGTGATGGACACAAATGCAAGTCTATGGTTTTGATGGCCTTCCTGTGGTGACTACTATGTGCCAATGCACTGCACAACTGATTGAAGTCTAACTCAGGAAAGGGTGGCAACACTGCTGCTGAAATGCTGACAAGTGTTGCTGCCCTAGGACAGGAAGTTTCTGGGGATAGATCTTTGATTTAATTAAACAAAAGACGATTAAAGTGACACTAAACTCAGATGTTAAACCTTAAAAATGTATTCAAGTACCTTCACTATTAACAACACTGTACCCTGTGTCTCACTTGCCTGTGGATCCTCAAATCATCTCTGAATTGGTGCTGACACTGTACTTCCTTCTGGAGGGTGACTACTTGTGTTCCCCATGGTCCCTGTGTGTGTTGTAAAGTAGTCACCACTCCAAGCTCCCTCACGTGATGGAATACAATCTCAATACAAATTAGTAAACCAAAATGTGAGATTGTAGTCCATCACAGGAGTGAGCTTGGAGTGGTGACTACTTTACAACACACACAGGGACCCTGGGGAACAAAATTAGCCACCCTCCAGAAGGACGGACAGTGTCAGCACCAATTCAGAGATGATTTGAGGATCTACAGCCGAGTGATACACAAATAAGATACATTATTGTCCATAGTTAAGGGACTTGAATTCATTCTTAAAATCTAAATCTAACTAAGAGATAACTATCATTTGCACTGGCTGCACACTTGTTCCAGGTCAGTGAGTAAGCACTGAGACCAAGATCAGAATGACAGCACCTTTAATGAAAAGGGTGGCCAATGGCTGCTCCTAGGCGGCTAACTTGTAAGAGCGCTCAGGAGGGTCTGCAATTACCAATGCTGCAGCAGACTCAGCGAGACATCATAGCATGGCCTTGGCAAAACTGGAAACTCTGGTGGGAAGATCTTACTGCTGGAAGACCTGATAAATATACGTTTTGGGTGGTGGGCTGAATCACCCGCTGACCTTTTATAAAATTGGTTCATGTCCCTTTTATTGGCCATCAAAAGACGGGCACCCAGGGCACATCGATCCCAATAAAATCTAGGCCCAGAGAGAAGCTTATTGGTGTGGGAGACAACACATAGAAAGATTGAAAAACTCTGCTTGTCCTTTATACAGTATGTTCATACATTTTACAGGCGATTTCCTTGTGTTATTATGAAACGCACATTGAAAATGATGCACTGATGTAATAGTCTGCACTAATGTCCTAATTGCTGCATATACATATGTCACCTTCTATATAATTACCAATGCAATTCCCAAATCATTATATGTAAATGTAATCCATTTGTATTTCAGTGTGGACTGGTGGATATTAGTAAATGTATTAGTCTTTGTACTCTCAACAAGCGAAGGATTAGGACTCTGAAACGGTGTGCAGTCCTGGCGCAAATTAAGAGGTAGCACCCGTGGAATGTCTAAATGTGGCCATCCGCCTATCGATATTGTTCCATTTCTTTCGTGCCTTCATCGAACAGTTGTACGATTTCTGCTTGAATACCCCGTCACCCCATGCACAGACCAATGTTGTTTCCATAATCGCTTATTAGCAATACTAACTCACCGAATTTCATCGGTCGACAAAACGGATTTTCGTTTGCGCATGTGCAGTGTTCATAGATACTTCGCCTTGCCTTGCTGCACTCCTTACCGAAAGTCCCTTGTAATGGAGGGGTGCTCGCAGCGTCTGGCGCCGCAAATAACAGCAAAAAAGGTAGAAAAGTCACCAGCACACCAACATTTTTTTAGGATAGCAGAATGTTCATGTATTTGAAGTTTCTTGGCATATAAGCAAGCGCTTTCGGGGCATTAGTCAATGCTAAGCCTGACGAAGAAACCCTGCGCTGCCCCGAAAGCGCTTGCTTATATGACAAGGAACTTCAAATAAATGAACATTCAGCTATCCTAAAAGGATTCTGCTGTGCCGATTTCATTTCTACCTTGTGTAGTGTTAATGTTGCGATTTTTTTCGGACAAAAACGCCACTAATCCATCAATTTTTGTACGATATGAAATAAGTTTTCCAGCCTGACTGATCGTGGAAATGCAGACAGAAGTACAGTAATTCTTGGAAGTAGATGCTCATTGGTTGGAATGATACCCAGTTAATGAGCTTATAATAGTATGGTTAAGCTTTAAAGGGGGGAGAGGGAATACTGTGGTGAGATTATAGGTTTTTTTTTTCTTTCCCGATATGGCACTGTGTTACATATGATATTGGAATATAACGAAATGTTAATGTATAAGATGGAAACCAATAAACATTTTGAAATAGAAGTACAGTAATTCTGATCGTTCACTTCCTATCAACTGGCTGATTATTGTAGGAAAACCTGATCGTGTTCGATTTTCGAACGATAATCGCAAGGTGTATGGGCACCTTTATTTTGTAATACGACAGGCTGTGGGCTTGTGAATATCTAGAGCGCTTATCTAAACACAGTGAAGGCGGGTGTAGTGCAAACGGCCTTCCTGTGTTTGGTTCCGCACATAGGATATAGAGGACCTGCTGCTGTTTTTAGCATGCCAATATTGGTTTTTCTATGCAAACCAAAACAAACATTTCAGGTTCAAGTTTTTTACGTATTTAAACTCACCTCATCGAAGTCCTCTCCAAAACCAATTGGTTTGGAAATGGCATCTGAGATTTCGTGTGCCACCTCATGCTGGTCGGCGATGTCCTGCATTAGTTCATCAACCTTATCGATATCCCTGTGGACAAACACAACGGCATTTTTAGTATGCAGTATAGAAAGTGAAACTGGCCTAAAATGTGCCTAAGGTATGAAAACAATGGAAGCGCAGTCAACATGTGTAACTGCTTGAGTCAATCTCTTTGGATCCCGTAGGATGTTGGGCCCAAGTATAGAGAGCCTTGAATTTTCTCCAATTCCAGCTTAAGCCACACCCCTTGTCGTTCAACTTATAAAGACCAAACCGTAATACATTTGGGTTTCTTTTTTATTTTGAATAGGGATGCACCGATACCAGTTTTTCGGTAATGAGTACGAGTAACAATATTTTTTTTTTCGGTACTCGCCAATACCAAAAGTCCCATTAAGGAAGCCAGGCGGCATTTAATAACTCACCGCCCGGCTTCCTGATTAGACGGGAAGCCAGGCGGTGTGTAAATACTCGCCACCCAGCTTCCCGATTACCAGGGAAGCCGTCTCCAGCACGGAGCCGGCTTTCTGGCCAATCAGGAAGCCGGGTGCGCGTCATTACTCGCCGCCTGTCTACATGATTGGCCAGCTTCCCGACCAATCAGGAAGCAGGGCAGTGAGTCATTACAGGCTGCCCGGCTTCCTGATTGGTCAGGAAGCCGGCTCCAAGCTCCCTCCATACAAGTGAAGAGGGAGCATGGCGCCGGCTTCCCGGCCAATCAGGAAGCCAGGCAGCCTGTAATGACTCGCTGCCCGGCTTCCTGATACCGAAAGTATCAGGCTAGGCATCGGAGCATTTGGCAAGTACGAGTACTCGTCCAAATACTCAGCACTGACACCAATAGTAGTATTTTTAACACTATTTGCTGCAACAAAGGTTAAGATACCTTGTGCTAACGGCACGCTAGGGAGCCGGACCGCTGCTGAACACAGAGCTCAGTTGTCCAGGTCTCCAGTCGGGTGACACTTCCCCTGCTCAGTGCTCCAATCAAAAGTACTGCTCGGGGAGTATGAGCACTGTTATTGGAGCTAATTAAAAATATAAAGGGGCCGTCAGTCGTATGTGACAATACTTACATGTTATCATGAGCGGCCTTCATAGCTTTAGCGGCAAAGCCCATGTTCTTGAGGACTTCGGTGTTTGTGTTGGCGTTTTCTAAGGCTTCCCTCTGGAATTCGATAGTAGACAGCGTTCCGTCAATCTGCGCCAACTGTTTCTCGTACCTCTTCTTCCGTTTTAGTGCCAGAAGGGCAACTGTAGGCAAAACATAGAATTGATTTTTTTAGAAACTTTGACAAACTATAGTGAACAATACATCAAGGATTATATCGCCACAAGAAGACTTAAAGAGAACCAGTCACATGTGGGCTTATGCAAGAATCTAAATATCCTTTTTAAATTCTGAATCCCTCGCTACGAGACGTGTATTTACTCCATTATGCCGCATTACTTAGTTTGTCTAAAGCGGGTCTAGGCGATCCCAGCACTCCATCTATGTTGTATCTACAAATCCCAACATGGTTCTGCCTCTAGGAGACATGCTTGTAGCTGTCATAGCTTTGCAATGCCTCATGGGATTTGTAGTCTCACCAAAGCTGGAGTGCGGAAGTTGCTTACCCCTGGTCTAAAGGATGACATTGGACTGTCAGAGGTCCCTCGTCTGACAGCTAATACTGTCTGAATGTACGCTCTGTCTTTTAGCTCCCAAGTGACCAAAACAGAATCAAACACAGAGCCCTGTAGCTGTTTACAGGAACAAAGTACATTTCTCGTCTTCCAATGTGTGAAAATACACCTACATTTCTAGCTGGGTACCCCTGAGTGGAGGAGCCGGCACCCTGTATAGGTCATGTGCTTTCGGCCCTTTGGCTTCGGGGCTTTGATTTCTGTGCATGCAAGCGGGGTAGGGAGAGACACACTTAGTGCCAGCCAGGAGTGCGCACAGGTGGCTCCATGGGACCTTGTAAGGGGATGGTGCCACCCGAAAACAGGAATGTTAGAAGGGGGAATTTTAAAGCAAAGCAACCACAGCCTTGAAAAGAAAGGCACACAGCAATCATGGTAAGTGCTGAGATCTGCAGCAGTATGAGTTTTAGTTGTGAGGGTTTAATAACACTTTAAAAAGAGGACTAAAGCCAAATATTCGGCCTGGGTTCTGTGACCCAAAGGCTGGGTTCACACCTAGGCGTATCCAATATGCGCGTTTGTTACGCGTTTTTACCGCGATTCGCGACTAACGCGCGTTTCCGAGGGCTACCTGGCTGTATCCCAATGGATACGTGCGGCATAAACGCCCAAAATAAGCTCCTGTACGTCTTTGGGCATAGGACGTTTTGTAGCGCGTTCATATGGCCTGTTATACGCCCAGGTGTGAACCATACCCATAGGAAATAATGGGATTTCGGTGTTTGAGCGTTTTGCAGAGCGTAGGAACGCGCTACAAAACGCCCAGGTGTGAACCAGGCCAAAGTCAGGCTACGATTCCTATATGCCGACAGTGCAGAGCCGCCCTGCAGCCAGGAATCTATTGTCAGGATCCACCACATTGCTTGATTGACAGCTGGCTCTGCCTCCCTAGAGCCAGAGCCAGCTGTGCCCGCCTCCCCTCCGTCCCTGCAATTAGCGTTGGAGGAACAGAGGGGAGGGAGGAATCCCAGCAGAGCAATGAATGATAGTCACAGCTCTCTGCAGGGAGAAGCCCATAGCTCAGCTCTCGAGCCGGTATGCGACACTTACAGTGTCACACACCGGCTCAAAATATTGGGAGTAGATTTTACTCTCCCAATACTTTGATTACGAAACCTGCAGGAGAGAAAGTGAACTACAACTGGCAGCAGTGAGCTGGAGCCCCCCTGACAGGCACATGTCTTCATTGCACAAAGCAATACAACCTATCAGGCCTGGGTACGGTCATGGACATGTGGGTGGGTATGCCAACATAGTTGCAAATACAAGTCCCAAAAAAGCCAGCATCCGAGCCAGCCAGAATACAGATATATTCTCCTGATCGTCGGTCCTGCTGCAATCAACGCTCACCTCTTGCCCCCTCCACTCCAGCGTCTTCACGTCTAATGCAGGTGAATGGACCTGCTTTATGCATGACGACGTCAGCAGGGCTTAGACCGTGGAGCGCAGGGGAGGAGAGGCTGCAGGGGCGAGTCTAGCAGTCGCGTGGGACCCAGGATCAGGCGAGTATACCTTCTGTAAACGAGCCCCACTGCAAGGGTTAATTTTGTTCATTCCTGGAGTTCCTCTTTAAAGGCTACGCTTACCTTTATAACCATGTTTTATGTTACACCCATATTTAGGGTGTAACAGGGAACATGCTGACATCTGGGCAGTGTCGAAGGTCAGGCTGTAACTAATACATGGGCAGGAGAGCAGGGCTGCCCTTTCTGCAGGAAGCTGCTTAAACATGAACCCAGGAGAAGGCAACCTCGGCACTCCAGTTGTGGAACTACAAATCCCACGAAGCATTGCAAGACTCCAACAGTCACAGACTTGACTCCCACAGGCAGAATGGGATTTGTATTTTTCCACATCTGGAATGCTGAGGTTGCCAACCCCTGCACTAACCCAATTGAGTCACCCGGCTACGAGTAGATAATCGCCCACAGCAATAGATTTTGCCCTGTATTTTTCCCCATTGTGGTGGCACTTTAAATAGAATTACAGCTTGGCACGCAGCGAGGAATGCAGTAATCTCCGAGCAGCGCCAAAACAAGCAGATTCTATCAGTGTCCCCAAACTCCAGAAACATATCCTGTAGAACATAGTCTGAATGTACTGACTAGTGTTCCTAGATGCCTGAAGCAAATACTAGAAGTTACTTACAAGTGGAACATGTCCTTACAAAGCTACGGAGCCGGGCATGTTTAGTAAACTGCTTCATGTTTTTACTTGTCACACAAAAAAAGCTTATAAAACACACCGTAAGGGCCACATGAAAAGCTGGAGCCTTGTAAAAGCTGCAATCGATTTGTACAGCTCTTTGCCCGTTAGTACTGACGAGCTGCTACACACCCAGCAGCCGCCTAGACGACAGTCTTCCCCCCCCTTTTACTCATAGTGATCGTGTAACAGCTACCTATATGTTTTCCTTACTACAGCCGCCTACGCAAGCTTGGTTACTACAGCGTTAGTATGTGAGGGATCAAACGTGAACCTGCCCTCTAAATATGCACATTCTCATCTACCCTTTGCTGCCCCGTTGCTCTGTTTAGTCAGTGGGAGTGAAGGGGAAACCCTAATACTTCCAGGTATGGGGGGGTCATGTGACAGCTCAGGTGCTTGGCCCTTCAGTCACCGGGTGTTGAGTCACTACTTGGAAGTTCACACGGGGCTTTCCCTCTTTGCTACCAGAAGATATACGGAGAGGCATGGAAGCCAATGAAGGCAAGTATGTGAAGTGGAGGAGGGTGGCAGGTAGGGATGCACCGATACTAGTAATCGGTGCCGAGTATTTGGGCGAGTTCTCGTACTCTCCCAAATGCTCCGATACTGGAACTTCTGGTCAGAGGAAGATGTCCTCTGACCGGCAGTGCCATAGGGGAACATGGAGCAGACTTACCGGGCAGTCAGGAAGCCGGCCGGTGAGTAATGACCCCCCTCCCGGCTTCCTGATTGGCCAGAAAGCCAGCTCCATGCCGATTGTATACAAAACCAATCAGCATCGAACTTGCCGAACAGCCGGTGACTTTGCTGATTGGCCGGAAAGTCGGCTTCCCGACCAATCAGCATCGAACCGGCCTAACATGAAGCATACTTCCCGGGCAATCAGGAAGCCGAGTGGCATGACATTGCCCGGCTTCCTGATTGCACAGGAAGCAGGCTCCATGCAAGCAGAAGCACCGGTATCTGCAAATACAGAAAGCAAAATATCGGTACTCGTAACCAAAAAACCAGTATCGGTGCATCCCTAGTGAATACCTGCCTCTGTGTGAGTGCCTGCCTCTGAATGGATGAGACTTAAGGACCCCAATGAGGAACATCCAAACCTAGTGGCAGGAATCTTTCGAATTTATAGAACAATGACAGAGGTCACCTCTGATATTAAAAAAAATTGCTGTGAGCCGGAGTGCGGTGATTCATTTTCTGACCGATTTGCCTGAGTGCAATGAGCCAGACCAGCAATCTAGCACAGTGGAGCCTGAGATAAGTCACTAGATTGGTATGCCTAACATTTTGTAAAACCCAAACACGGTAGATAAGAATCATGGCAAGAAGATCTCACCAGACTATTTAGTTCAGAGACGATATTGTCCTGAATATATAAAACGGGGTATATCCAGTTTGTACAGCGCCAGACATTATTCACGACAAACAAATGTTTTAACGTTTGACAAGAACATGGACTTCAAATTGGCAGGCAGCAGAAACTGGGAGGAAGTCCAAAAAGCGTAATAAGTAGTCACAGAATTATCAGAGGAAAACAGTCTCTTGGTGACGCTGAAAATACAATTATACAACAGAGGTTAACATCCAGAGGACACACAAAATAAAACTTAGTCTCAGTTAGGGAGGGCGCAGGTTTAGCCATTGGGGGTCTAACCCAGGAGCGGACCAATTAACATGGAGTTCAGGGGCCAGTCTGTCCAGTCCAGGAGCCAGTGGGATTTTTTTTTTTAGGTTTTTAAGTTAGACGCCAGTTATAATTTTTTTAAGGTGCATTGGCGACATGTCTGCTGGGGTTTGTCCGGCCCTGGTCCAAAAGGTGCCCATACACCTTTTGAACAGTCGGACGATTATTGTACGGCGGCCACATCCTGCCCCGACCATCGCACAGTTCAATTAGCGGTCTTTAGCAGAAATCACCTTGACAAAATTCGCTAATCGACCGCACGGATTTTCGTTTGCGCATGAGCAGTGTTAATCATACGAATTTTGACGTACGGAAACGCCACCAACCTTGCGAAAAATCGCACGATCGACCAAAGTTTTCTAGCCTGCTGGAAAGACAAATGTCGTACAATTGTAGAATCCCCATCAACCTCACGAATATCGGACGGAAACGCAAACGAAAATTCAGCCGATATTCGTAAGGTGTATGGGAACCTTAACTCGATCCCACTAATCCCGCATGAGCTTCCTATAATGCTTGAGAAAACGTCACACTGAAGATACATTAAAAGGGTATATGGTAAATATCCTAAAAGTGGGATTAGTTTTAATTGATCCCCAGCTCCAGAACAAGTCAATGCCAAAGCATGTGATGCAGAGTAGGACCACTTCACTCTGTGTGGAGGCAGTGGTCT